ATGCTTGAAGGCCAGAAGAGGGCGCCAGACCCCATTACAGATGGTTGTGAGCCACCATGTGGTTGCTGGGAATTGAACTCAGGACCTTTGGAAGAGCAGGCAATGCTCTTAACCACTGAGCCATCTCTCCAGCCCTCTTCTTCCTTTTGGGATGAGGCTGGAAGACACAATGGCAGTACTTACAAGGAAGTACAGCTGTCTTTTGGTGTCCACTGAAGCTTGGATGACGGTTCCCCGTACACAGCCGCACCCAGACGCTGGAGTCTCATATAACATGGCATGGTGCCTGTGTATAGCCTGTGAGCACAGGCTGTGGGTGTGGGGACACACACCCATAAACCTAGCTCTGGGGAGCCTGAGACAGGAAGATTGCTATGAGTTTAAGGCCGGCCTGGGCTACACAGAGTTCAAGGCAAGCTGGGGGCTAAACAGGAAGACTCTATCTCAGAGAAAAACTGTTGTATAATTTCCTCCCATATACTTTAATCATCTCCAGATTGCTTGTAATACTTGACATTATGTAAATGCTAAGCAAATTGTTTACTGTATTTTTTTAGATATCTATGAGAAAAAAAACTATACATTTTCAGTACATATATTTAACTTATTTTAAATTAAATTTTCTGGGGGCATAACATGAGCATCTGTGGGGGTCAGAGGACAACTTAACTTGTAAGAGTAGATTCCTTCTACCAGGTGGGGCCCAGAGATCAAACAGGTCTTCAGGTTTGGTGACAAGTGCCATTACACACAATGCCATCTTGCTAGCCAGTTTTATTTTTACTAGATATAAAAAAATTATTATGTATATGAATGTTTTGCCTGCATGTATGTATATGCATCATATGCATGTCTGGTGCTCAGGGAGGACAGAAGAGGGAGTCCCCTGGAATTAAAGACTTATGGATAGTTAGTGAGCCACCATGTGGGCGCTGGGAATCAAACTCTGAGTCCTTGGCAAGAGTAGCAAGTGTAGCTTGGTCATGGTGGTGCATGGTGCACGCCTTTAATTCCAGCACTAAACAGAGGCAGGTGTACCTCTGAGCTTGAAGCCAGCCTCATCCACACTGTGAGTCCCAGGACAGCAATAAAAAAGCTCAAATAAAACAAGTGCAATAATCTGCTGAGCTCTCCCTCGCCTCCATTTGTTTAGAGATGGGCCTCCGTACTCCTGAGAGCCTGGCATTCCCAAAGGTCCTCCTGTCTCTGACGCCTGAGTGCTGAGATTAAAAGCATACCCCACCTTGATTGACAATTATTTTTTTTAGACAGGGTCTCATTCTGTAGCCAAGGCTAGCCTTGAAGCTTCAGTGATCGCCTTGCTGTAACTACAAGTGTGAGTTGAGCCACTATGCCTATCACACAACTTCCCTCCCATATACAGTTTGTTTGAGACAGGGTTTCTCTGTATAGCCCTGGCTGTCCTGGAACTCACTTTGTAGACCAGGCTGTCCTCAAACTCAGAGATCCACCTGCCTCTGCCTCCAGAGTGCTGCGATTAAAAGCATGCACCACCCCCTCCCCTGGCAATATTTTCTTAAGGTTTTTCTTTTCATGGGGGATTGGGCCTGTAGAGATGGCTCAGTGGTTAAGAGCACTTGTTGCTCTTGTAAAGGGCCCAATTTCAGTTCCCGGCACTCATGTGAAGCAGGTAGCCTATAACTTTTAATTTTTTAAATTCATTTTACGTACCAACCATAGTTCCCCCTCCCTTCCGTCCTCCCACCCCCGCCCCCGCATCCTCCCCCTTACAAATTCTTTTAATTCCAGCTCCAGGGGAGTCAACATCTCCCTCTGGCTTCTGAGGGCTCACAGACACACACAGACACAGACACACAGATGTGCGCATGCATACAAATTTTTTTTTTAATTTTTATTTCGTGTGCATTGGTGTTTTGCTTGTACGTATGTCCATATGAAATCCCCTGGAACTGGAGTTACAGACAGCTGCCATGTGGGTGCTGGGAATTGAACCTGGGTCCTCTGGAAGAGCAGTCAGTGCTCTTAAACACTGAGCCATCTCCCCAGCCCCACAAAAATACTTTTTAAAAGTTTTTTTCTTTCTTTTTAAACATTTCTCTGTGTAGCCCTGATTGTTCCTGGAACTCACTCTGTAGACCAGGCTGGCCTCGAACTAAAGAGATTCACCTGGGCCGGGCGGTGGTGGCACATGCCTTTAATCCCAGCACTTGGGAGGCAGAGGCAGGCAGATCTCTGTGAGTTCGAGACCAGCCTGGTCTACAAGAGCTAGTTCCAGGACAGGCTCCAAAACCACAGAGAAACCCTGTCTCGAAAAAAAAAAAAAACAAACAAAAAAAAAAAAAAAAAAGAGATTCACCTGTTCACCTGCCTCTGCTTCTCAAGTGCTGGGATTAAAGGCATGCACCATCACTACCTACCTTCTTTTTCAACTAAATTTTTATTTAGTGTGTGTGTAAATTCCTTCTGTGGTGTACGTGTGGAGATCAGAGGACCAACTTGCAGAAGTCAGATTTTTTCCTCCTACCATGCAGCGCAAGCTCCTTCGCCCACTGAACCATCTTTCCAGCCCTCCCCAACATCTGTAATGATCTAACGCTTTGTGTGCATGGGCACACATGTGACACCATGCAAGTGTGGCGGTCAGAGGACACTTTCCTTTCCACCAGGTGGGACTGGGACCTGGGATTGCATTCATGGACAAGCGCTATTACCCACAGCCCCTCCCCAGTATCTGCAGTCCTAGTTCTGATCATGGATGTGTGGAACCTGAGGTACACAGGGCTGACTGTGCTCTTCTCAAGTTATTAAGTGGCTATTTATAATGTATAATTTTTGCTTATTAAAGCACAATGTAGCAGGCATGGTGGCACACACCGTTAATCCCAGCACTCGGGAGGCAGAGGCAGACTCCTGTCTGTGAGTTTGAGGCCAGCCAGGTCTACAGAGCTCCAGGCTGGGTTACAAAGTTGAGACCCTTCTTCAAAAAACCAAACCAGCTGGGCAGTGATGGCGCATGCCTTTAATCCCAGCACTTGGGAGGCAGAAACAGGTGGATCTCTGTGAGTTTGAGGCCAGCCAGGTCTACAGAGCTCCAGGCTGGGTTACAAAGTTGAGACCCTTCTTCAAAAAACCAAACCAGCTGGGCAGTGATGGCGCATGCCTTTAATCCCAGCACTTGGGAGGCAGAAACAGGTGGATCTCTGTGAGTTTGAGGCCAGCCTGGTCTACAAAGAGAGTTCCAGGACAGCCAGCACTGTTACACAGAGAAACCCTGTCTTTTTTTTTTTTATATTTATTTATTTATTTATTATGTATACAGTGTCCTGTCTGCCTGTAGGCCAGAAGAGAGCACTAGATCTCATTACAGGTGGTTGTGAGCCACCATGTGATTGCTGGGAACTGAACTCAGAACCTTTGGAAGGGCAGGCAGCGCACTTAACCACTGAGCCATCTCTCTCTAGCCCCGAGAAACCCTGTTTAAAGAAAACCTTGAAAAACAAAATAAACAACCACAAAAACAAACAACCAAATCCCAAATAATAAAATACAATGTATGGCAGGGCATGGCAGTGCATACCTTAAGCCCAGCACTCTAGAGGCCAAGGCCGGCAAATTTCTGAGTTCAAGGCCAGTCTGGTTTACACAGTGAGTTCCAGGCCAGTTAGGGCTACACAGTGAGGCAATGCCATCTCAGAACAAAATAAAGCAACACATAAGAAACAATGCATGTAACTGGGGTTTACATGCATTGGTAGAGATAGTTGCCTAGCAAATGGAAGCCCTGGCTTCAGTTTCCAGCTCCAAGTCACAGCAGGTATGGTGGCACATGGGCCTGGGGCAAATGGGACCCTAGCTCCAAAAACAAAACAACAACAAACAAAAAAACCGTGTAGGTGGGAGGACGGCTTAATTGGTAAAGTGTTTGCCTTGTCAAGTTAGATCCTCAGCACACGTATCCATCTGCTTGTAATCTCAGCGCTGGGGAGGCAGAAACAAGCGGCTCTCTGTTCTATGAAAAACCAACTAGCCTAACCTACTTGGCAAGTTCCGGGGCAGTGAGAAAACCATGTCTCAGAACAACCCACCAAAGAAGCTGGGGACCTGAAAAGATGGTTCAGCAGTTCAGAGCTTTTCTTGCAGTGGACCACTGGCAACTCACAACCACCTGTAATTCCGGTTCCGGGGAACCTGATGCCCTCTTCTGACCTCTGCAAGGACCTATATACACACGGTGTAAATACAGATAAGCAGACACGCAGGCACACACGCGCGCACACACAGAAATAAATAGGTTAAAACTAAGGGCGGCGCCATGAGGAGGGCCCAGCAGGTAAAGGAGCTTGCCACCAAGCCTGACTTGAGTTCAATCCAGAAGCAACAGTGGGAGAGAAGTCTGAAGCAGTTGTCTTCTGACCTCAAAATGTGCATCATAGCAAATGCAGAGACACTCATGCACACATGTGCACATCCATACACATACAATATATATGCTAAAATTGGATGGTTCCTGAGGACTTCTGGCCTTCACATGCATACATACACACTGGCATCCCCACACATTCATGTACACACAGAATCCATGCACATAGAGAATAATGGATAGACTGGCATTAAAAATGTCCCCTGGGGGACTAGAGAGATGGCTCAGTGGTTAAGCACAATGGCTGTTCTTCCAGAAGACTTCAATTAGATTTCAGCACCCACCTGGCAGCTTAACAGTCTGTAACTCCATTTCCAAGGAAATTTAACACCTTCTGGCCTCTGAGGACACGACACACGTTATATAGACAGGCATATGGGCAAAACATCCATAAGCAAATAAATCTTTCAAAAAGTGCCCCCTGGGCCTTTGAGATGGTCCAGTGGATAAAGGCATTTGCCATTAAATCTGATAAGCCGACTTCCACCCTTGTTACCTAGGAGAGATGACAGGAAAGAATGACTCCAGCAAGCTGTCCTCTGACCTCCACATGTATGACATGGCACAGGTGCATGCATGCATACAAATAAATATAATTGGGGGAAAAAAGAGGACAGGGAAAGATGGTGTGGTGGTACAGGCTTTTAAACTCAGGAGGCTGAGGCAGGGAGGCCCACCTGGCCTACATGGGGAGTTCCAGGACAACCAGGGCTGTATAGTAAGAGTGAGACTTTATCGCAAAAGAAACAAAAAGTATAAAAAAAAAAAAAAAAGCACATGGAGGGGCTGGAAAAGTTTGGCTCAGAGATTAAGAACATTGGCTGTCCGGGCGATGGTGGCACACTCCTTTAATCCCAGCACTCGGGAGGCAGAGGCAGGCGGATCTCTGTGAGTCTGAGACCAGCCTGGTCTACAGAGCTAGTTCCAGGACAGGCTCCAAAGCCACAGCAAAACCCTGTCTCGAAAAACCAAAAAAAAAAAAATAAATAAATAAAAGAACATTGGCTGTTCTTCCAGAAGATGTGGGTTCAATTATAAGTACCCAGATGGTAACTCACAACTGTTAACTCTAATCCCAGGGGATCCCCAGCCTTCAATGACATTGCATACATGTGGTGTACAGACAAACTTGCAGGCAAAACGCTCATACACATAAAATACACAAGTTGTCCCTGATCACGTCTACCAGCTGGCCTGCACTCGGGAGAGCATCCAGCACAGGCTAAGTTCTGGGCTGGGACAGCTGCTATGTCCTCTCCACACGCTTAGAAGACAGCTCTCCAAAAACTTGAAAGTCCTCACCTTGTTATCTTCTGTGTACGCCTCAGTATAACTTAACAATCCTGAATTCTCTCCACACAGGTCTACATATGTGGTGGGTTTAATGGAAACGAATGCCTGTTTACAGCAGAAGTGTACAACACTGAGAGCAATCAGTGGACAGTCATTGCACCCATGAGGAGCAGGAGGAGTGGAATAGGTGTAATTGCTTACGGGGAACATGTATACGCAGTGAGTTTCCATTGTATCATGATAAAATGGCACCCTTAGACTTTCTAATAGCAAAGAGGCTCAGCCTTTCATTAGCGAGCATTTGAAAAGAGGCGGTAGCATCACCTGTTCTCCCCACAAGGGCTTCCTCGGGAAACAGAAGCAATGGATAGCAGTCAACCTTGTCTCTTTTGCTCTTCACAGGTAGGTGGCTTTGATGGAGCTAATCGACTGAGGAGTGCAGAAGCCTACAGTCCAGTGGCTAATACGTGGCGCACAATCCCCACTATGTTTAATCCTCGTAGCAATTTTGGTATCGAGGTAGTGGACGACCTCTTGTTTGTGGTGGGTGGCTTTAATGGCTTTACCACCACCTTTAATGTTGAGTGCTATGATGAAAAGACCGATGAGTGGTATGACGCTCACGACATGAGCATATACCGCAGTGCTCTGAGCTGCTGCGTGGTGCCAGGGCTAGCCAATGTTGGGGAGTATGCAGCTAGACGGGACAACTTCACAGGATTAGCACTGCGAGATGAAGTAAAGTATTCCGCTTCGACAAGTACCCTACCTGTATGAGCCTCTTCATTTAGCTAATAAAAAGTCTAAGCAATAAGAATTAATTCTTTTTTTAAATAAATGCAGTGTTTAAACTTGTAAGAGTACTGGAAAATGTTCAACTTAAGGGAAGCAAGGGTTGGATAAATGAGGGAGTTAAAGAAGGTGATTATTTTCAACAGTGCATAATTAAGAAAAGAACCACACAGTATAAAACCAGCTCTACAGAAATACGTTTATTGAAAACTTACATTTAGACAATTAGTAACTTGAACACGAGCAAGATAGCTTCAGGAACATAAACATATCTCAGAGTGTTCTAAATACTATATCTCCTCTAATCTGAAGGGAGATAACCAAGATTCTATCTTGCATAGGGGCTTGGGTGCCACTAAGCCAAGAAAACTGTTTTTAAACTAAATGCTTATTTTACAAATAACACGACTAGCACCAGCCCATGGATGGTAAAATCTTCAAACACCTAGCAAGTACTGTGTTTCACAGGTGCAGGAAGCAGGAGGGGTAACTGAATTAACAAGTGCTTCAAGGTACCACACTCCTAGCAAGGGTCACAGAGTAAGCCAAAAGCTCTGTAAGGGTTGCAGTGAACAGTGAATTGGCTAAATAAAGTCCTTGCAGCAAATGACTACTTTGTAAAGTTACTGTCATTGTATTATTACAACTCTCAACAACTGTTTGGTTTTATGACCAGAACATGTGCTAGAAGTATAACAACAAAATGGACTTTCCTCAAGAAAATAACAAACGGAGTGACGAGTCGTGCCAAAATGTTTAATGGCTGAGAACAGACTGAACTGTTGCTCAAATAGTCTAGGGTCGAAGCACCGCATTTCTCTAGTGTAGACGAATGCTTCACAACACCATATATGTTCAAAGACACGAAATGTGACTAACATGCCCTTTGCACGTAAGCTTAGTTCAGAAGGTACCAGAAAGAGGTCCTGTATACTTTATTAGACCAAGTAGCTAAAATATGTAACACAGCTCCAGTCTACTTATAGTGTTGACACTTGAATCAGGAAGCAGAAAAGGAAGTATTTCAAACACACCACATGCTACAGTCAGAGAGGAAAGTGTGCACAAGAACCTGCCTACCAGCTATGACAGGGCTGAACACAAAGGTGCTCTCTGGCTTCAGACCGAGTGTCTGTATTTTAATAGCTCAGTAGTTTAAAAGAATTTTTGGTCCCAGAAATACTACACACAACCAGGTAACCAAAACAAAACTGATGTCAGTTAAATTTTAAGTGTTCTTAACAAAAATGTTACTTTGAACTGGCACAGAAAAGCAAAGCTATCAGGATACACAAGACTAATCATGCAAGTGATGATCGCTTAAACCCTAAGCTCACGACTGACATTCTCAACCTAAAAGGTAGACAGGAAGGGCCCATTATGATGTGGAAGTAGCCTTACTCCAAGTAATGGACAGTCGTACCTTTTTTGGTATAATGGAGTTCTTTCCAACATAGAAAAATAAAACAAAACAAAGGTTCACTTGAATACATTTAAGTTTTTTTTAAAAAGCTATGTTTATAACTTTTCACAAAGAGCTTTATTAGACTTGCACGATTATTATTATTATAAATACTGTTATGTCCAGTTTAAAATTTCAGAATGTCAGCCTTGAACAGATTTAAGCAAATCTGGTTTCTTCCCTTCCTAACAGGTTAGTTAGAGTATTTAAGAGACACAAGTTATGGTGAAGCCACACACGTGAATTCACGTATGAACATTAGAAACTTGGTAGTCAGGAAAACCTGCACACCATCATGCAAGGAAGGACTTACCCCTTCATTCAGCCAGGGTCTAGGCTGCCTGCTGAGTCAAAAAAACAGTGGTTTCAATCAAGTTTTTAAAACCAGATTATACCTAAACCTTAGGAGTTATATTGTCTGCCAAAAAATAAAGGGGGGGGGGGGAGAAAAAAAGATGGCCCTATTAACAACTTGGTGATGACAGCCCCAAAATACAATTCTGGGACCAAAAAGTCAAAAATCAAAATATATGACATTCTTCTGGAGAAAGCTGGCATCCTGATGAAATATTAAATGATTTGCTTGTAAAATTAGAGATAAAGGCAAGCTTCCTTCAGTGCACAGACCTCTTATAACTAAGGAATGCTTCTCAGAATCCAAAGGCTTATTTATGTTATGAAGGTAACCACAGAGGGCTGGGAAGCAACCCAGTTGGCAGAGTATTTCCCTAGCGTGTGCAAGGCCCTGCGTTCAGTTCCCAGCACTGTAAAACACACCAACCTAAAGAAACCCAAAGGATGGAAACTGAGAAAAAGTTAAGGGAAAAGGGGAGGATAATAGATCCTTTATGCGGAAAGGACTTGTGGTTTCCCAGACTCACTTCAGTTTAAGTTAAATGGCTTTAAAGCACATTTCCAACATAGCTATTCACCCTTGTCCTGGGCAAGAACACTAATTTAGACGCTTCAAGAAAATTATCAGTACAGAATCCAAGAACATTAAGCAAATGGCTTAAATTTCTGGTTGTGCTTCTGTTATTTTATCACACAATAAAGTTAACTCTAGTATAATCGGGGAAGTCTAGATCACTCTTCTTGGACTTTTCCAGAATGAGAGGAGATGAAGACATTCTTAAATTTAAAAGTCAGATTTACAATACAAACCATCAAGAGTCTTTATTTTATATTATTTATGTACTCTATTATTAGTTACCCTTTTGTTGTTGGTTAGTTTGAGGCAGGGTCTCACATGTATACTAACTAGACTGGCTCAGAACTCCTGATCTTCTTCTTGACTTTGCTTCCCAAATGCTCCGATCACAGATGAGCACTTCCATACCCAATTTTTAATTAATTAGATGTTTGTGTCTGCTTGTGGATATGTCCATGTGAATGAATGCGGGTGCCCACAGGGGCCATGGGTATTAGATCCCCTAAAGGCGGAGTTATAGAGGCTTGTGAGCTGCCTGAAGTGGTGTGGGAACCAAACTCAGTGGAAAAAAAGCAAATGTTCTTAGCTGATGATCCATCTCTCCAGCCCACTGAACAGGAGTCTATGCTGAGTGTTGAAAGATTTAGCCTGAATACTAACTTGCATAAAGCCCAGGAGTGTATAGAAACTCAAAATATGGGTGTTCCTTGATGTAACTTCCTTGAGGTCAAAGCCCATTAGAGGATGGGACCTATTAGTGATGCCACCTTGAGAATTATCCGCACTCCTAACTGCTTTATATATTGCTGTGTGTATGACTATTCAGAAGTGGTGACTGCACAGGTCTGATAAAGGCCCTACAATGTCAAGACAACATTCCTCTATTCTGCTGGAGAGCAGTGTTGCTCTAAATATGCATGCTTAATGTAAATGTGTTCTCTAAGCTTGTTAAAAAAAAAAAAAACCCTTGAACATGAAGTGAATACTGAAGCAAGAAAAAGAAGTGGCTTTACCCTGGCTGTCAGTGAGGATCACAGCTGAATCTTTACTAAAGAATATGAATCAACAAATCAATCAAGATGTCTTTGGACTGACTACAATTGACTTGTCAATGTTAAATCTATATGGAAATTCTTCCTGAATATGAAAAACATTCATATAGTCTCAAAGCCAATCCAGCCTGGTCTACATAGAGACTTCCAGGTCAGCAACACTACATAGAAGACTATCAAGAAAACAAACAAAAAACAAACAAACAACAACAAAAATCAAAGGTAAAATAAAATCAGCAAGATCTGGGAAATCACTGCAATTTGAGATTTGCATTAAAACAAAAATCCAAAAGAGAAATAATTTTCTTTGATGGTAGGATTCACAAAGAGAAGTTGTACAATGTTCCACCAAGAACAGGATTACTCACAAAAGCCTAAGGCTGAGCACTCCAAGACTAAAGTCCTGCACAAGGGAGTTCAGAAATAAAGTACAAATTAGATCCAGATCCTTAAAGAAAAATGGGAAACTATATACTCTGTCTACAGATGAACAAAAAAAAATTTAAGTACCGAGCAGGGATTTATTATCAAAAATAGTACAAAAACAATGATACCAATACAAGGCTCAAAAGACACTGTAAAGAAAAGAGCTAACTCTCAATCCCATACACAGAAATAGGTGATAAAATCAGCAAACAAAGAATATGCAGACACTAAGAGAATGGGACTCAAGGATATACCTAAAGCAACTGAGAGTTATAGATCTTGAATATGAGAGCTCTAACAGCTCAAGAAAATGTTAATAAATGCGAACAGTTAGAGGAATGTGAATGTACAGTATCATTGTAGCTTATCATTGGAAGCTTTCCCCTCAGGATCTATGTAAGGTCAAAGCCTAGTCTACCCTAGTGAGCTCCAGGCCAGCCACGGCTAAATAGAGACCCTGTCTCAAAAAACTAAGACTACTTTAGGGAGAGTAATAAAAATATGTATAGATTAAAAACCTTTTCTGAAAGATGACAGTCACTGAACTGATTATTTAACCTTCTGACATTTTTCTATTAAATGTGTTATGTGAAAACCTTACATTTTTAAAAGCCAAAACTATGTACTCAGGTTTGGTATTCTAGGCTCTAAATTCCAATAAAAGTCTAGGGTAATCCAGTACAATATTATGACAATTAAGGGCCAGAAATAACATGGCTTCTCTTAGAGGAGTATTTTCTAAACTCTTACTTTCCTTGCCATTTTGAAAGTTTTTCTTGTGGAAAGAACTGATGAAGAGCCTATATAATATTCAATGGAGCAAAAAAATGAACTGAAGGCATCACGTGTGATTGTCACGAGCATGCTGCATCCTCCTCAGCTCAGTCACAACCCTTCAAAGAGTTTCAAAATGTTGTTCACTTGCTTTCTCAGCAACACTGAACACTTTTCTTAGAGAAAACAAACTTTACCTATGTAACTTCCTCTCTAGTCAAATCAGCTAAATACTAATACCTCCCCAATTCTCATCTCAGAATGATGGCTTCCAGTCTATAAATAGCTGCGGCAGAAACAAAAGCCAGATGATGCCCAATCACAAACCTCTCATTGGTCACTCTTTCCAAGGAACAAAAACAGCATTTATAAACACATAAAACAAACGTGAGCACCAACACTGTAAGATCAATCTTGCTGAAACATTGTGCTTTTACCTTCAGATCCAGTCTTACTATTGCACATGCCTGCAGATGAGAACTTAATGCATAAACTGATATCACTGAAAACAAACAATCTACACAAAATGTAAAAGGAATATCAAAGTAAATGTGCAAATAATGCTGGTGCTTAAAGCCCCGAATATAGGTCCCTAAAACAAAGGAGTTACAGTTGTTGGCAGAGAAAAAAGGCCAAATACCTAGACGTGCTTTCCCCACGTCTCTTTAATAAGATCTTATTTGCCAGCATACAAACTAAAGACAGGACTGTAAGTTAACAAAAATACCACACTAAACTGAGTTTCCTCTTTGTTCTTTTAACTATCTTCCGTTATAGGGTAGTAAGTCCAAGTAGAAAATAAGTTATTGACATACTTTTCCAAGTAACAGTCCAGGCATCTCCAGCCACATAGGATGGGGAAAAGTTTTCAGCTGCGCACGTCATATTTAGCATTCAATTTGGGAACTTGGCACTCTCCGCATGTTCAGGGCGTGCCGGTGTATCTCTTGCATCTGTCTGATGCGGTCCTTCTGCCACATTAAATTTTGAGGCATAGGGTATCTCTGTGTGCCATGCAGATATCGGTAGGGGATCCTAACGTGACAAGCGGTGGCTCTACAACGGGGCTGAGGCATGGGAGGAAGGAGCATCCACCTCTTTCTCTCAGCACAGTATCGGTAGGCCTCTTTCCGATACTGTTTGTCAATATCATCGCTGTTTTTCCAGCCTCCAATAATGAAGACATCATCTTTATAATAGCAAATGGCTGCTCCTTCAATGCTCAGGACTTCTGGAGGCAAGCTTTCAAGGATCTCATCAGACACCTGACCGGCAATTTTTCTTACTGCCTCTTCATTTTCTAAAGAATAACTCTTGGGACAGCAAGATGCTGTCTGATAAAAGTTTGAATTGACCACAGACATCTGGAAAAAACAGTAATTGTCAATAAGTGGTAAAGATTCTACATCTTTCCACTGTCGAGTCTCTGTATCATAACAAGTAATTACAGCCTTCAATCCATCCTCGGTGTCCCGGTCCACAGGAGTGCGGGCAGCAATGTACACAAACCGGTCTTCAATAGCTAGTGCTTTGACATCGCGAAGAATCTTTGGTGCCGATTCTAAGTTGTGCCATTTATCAAGCTCGGGATTGTAAACAGTCACATCTTTAAAGCCGGGGCTAAAATTGCCATGTCCTCCAATGCTATACAGCTTCCCTTTGACTTCTGTTAGCCCAAAAGAATGCTTTCTTGTCATCAGACTACAAACGTGTTCCCATGTATTCAAGTTTGGGTTGTACCTTTCCACAGTCTTAGCAAAGCCTGGTTCCATCGAGCCAGCAACATACACGTAAGATTCTGTTACTGCAACAGCATGTCCATCAAGATGATTATGAATGTGGGGCAGATTGACCCATCTGTCCTCGTCAACAAAATATCCCACACATTCACTTAAATAGTCTCCTCCTTCTGACACACCTCCAATAACCATGATTACGTCCATGTTTTGTCCGTAGCGAGGTAAGAGTGAGACATGGGATGCGGGATGCTGGAGTGTGCCAGACTGTATGTTCTCTGCTCTGAGTGCATGCCTCTCCACTGCATCAGCCACCAGCTTGACACAAACTTCATTATTGGCCACCAGACGCTCTGGTTTGACATGCCGTGTAAGGTAGGTGGGTTTCATCTGGGACAACCTGAGCAATTTAAAAAGTTCTTCAAAGTATCTCTCTCTGTCTTCAGCATTTCTCTGAACCCACTTCAAAACCGTTTCAAAAAGAACTTCTTCAGAATCCACGGTAATTTCCAAATCCGAAAGCCAGTCTCGAATGAGATGGAAAGGTAAAGTATAAAATTCTTCATCCTGAATGACTTTATAGAAATTTCTCCGGATCATTTCTGCAGCTTTCATAGCAAGCTGACTTAGGGTGTACATGTGGGCTAAACTATGAATGGCCACACAATTTGAGAGATGAAGTTTTTTCTTCAGAAATTCTCCACAAAATTCTTTTAAACGAATCAGTAAGAATCTAGAATCAAGAAAAAGAGAAAAGATTAATGTTGGAATGTAATTATTTCATTTGGTTGCAATGTAGGTGCACTTGGATTATACACATTGAAATGGTAGGATTAATCTCATAAGCACAGTATCTGGAAAGAAAAAAAAAACAAGCAAGTTTTTCAGGAGGAAGGGGTTGAGATAGGTCTTATTATGCAGATGGTAAAAGCACTTGCTGGAGCAAGCCTAGAGATTCAAGTTCAATCCCTAGAGCCCACATAAAGTCAAAGTTGTCCTCTTGATTATCTGAAGACTTGGTTCCTAGTACCCATACTGATTAGCTCACAACTGCCTAACCCCAGTTACAAGGGGTCCAATGCCCTTTTCTGGCCTTCTTGGGCACTGCACCCATATGCACATATTGTCACACAGATAGACACATAAAGGACAAATGCCAATCCAAATGCATTTGACATTTTTTTAAAAAATTATTTATTTACTTATTATGTATACAATATTCTGTCTGCATGTATGCCTGCGGGACAGAAGAGGGCACCAGACCTCATTACAGATGGTTGTGAGCCACCATGTGGTTGCCGGGAATTGAACTCAGGACCTTTGGAAGAGCAGGCAATGCTCTTAACCGCTGAGCCATCTCTCCAGCCCTTGACATCTTTTCTAATCCTTTTGCAGTCACTAGACCTCTGATTTATTTATTTTGGCTCTGCTTTGTTTTTTTGGGACAGCATCTCAAGTAGCCCAGGCTGGTCTCCAACACCATACAGCAAAGGACAACCCTTCTGCTCCTACCAACTATGTGCCAGGATCACAGACATGCACTATCACTCCCAGCCTTTGGTGCTTTTATTGAGAAATGATTTTGGTGAAAGGCAGTATGATCATCTAGTGTAAACTAGATGCAGGCAGGAACTCTAACTTCCTGAAGGCTCAGCTTGGTCAGGTATCTCAAAGAACTCAGCCTTGGCTGAGTTAGGTTTTTATCTCTTTGGGCAATCACAGAAAGTAGACTAAGGGGCTTTACCCAAGGGTGAAGCCTGGAAATAAAACAAAATCACAAAAAAAATCATGTGTAGCTTAAAAAAGAAAAGTGAGCTGGGCGATGGTGGTGCACGCCTTTAATCCCAGCACTTGGGAGGCAGAGGCAGGTGGATCTCTGTTAGTTCAAGACCAGCTTGGTCTACAGAGCTAGTTCCAGGACAGGCTCCAAAGCCACAGAGAAACCCTGTCTCGAAAAACCAAAACAAACAAACAAACAAAAAAAACCAGTGCCCACCCACCTAAATATGAGTTAAAATAAAACACAACAGTGTTCGCTCAAATCATAAATCTAACAGCACTTAGCCCAAGAGAGGTTACTGTGCTTAGTAACTACTTAATTACAAAATACAGACAATTAAGACAAGCTCTCTTAACCTTCTTAAAGAAACATTCCCACCTTAGAGATGAAACAAAGGCCAGGTAGAGTGGCGAGTAAAGTCTCTAGACTCTAGAGAGCCCCACACAATCTGGGTGCCAGAACCACCTGATTCCCAGGCTGGCCTCAAGCTCCTATGTTTAGCAGGTAATTCTGAAGTATACCCCCTTAGACAATAGCACACTTGGCATTGTTATATAAGGAACACTGTGCTGCACATGTCTGTTTATATGTATTTATTATAGGACTGGGGATTCAACTCAGGGTCTAAAACATACTAGGCAGGTGCTCTACTATTAATCCCTCCCTCCAACTTCCATTTTAGAGACAGGATCTATCTAATCAGTGATTCTTCTGCCTCAGCCTCCTGAGGAGCTGGGATTAAAGCGCTGAGCCTAGAGACTCTGCTCATTCTATTATTTCTAATCACAGACAGTAAGTACATGTGGGCACAGAGAAGACGATTCTCCCTCAGAGCTAATTAAGCTTGATCATTACAGGCACGTGTAAAAGATTTTTTTTTGTATTTTTGAGACAAGGTCTCTCTATGTAGCCCTGGCTGGCCTTGAACACAGAGGCAGTTTGTCTCTGCTTCCCTAGTGAAAAGAATGAAGGCACCACCATGTCAGCAAGTTAAAGTTTTAAGTCATAGGACCAAGCAAACTTGATAATAGCTCTTCTTCTGGGTTTCATTTAACAATCCTTCTCAGGCCTGTAAACATCCTACCCCATCCTGAGGATCCAGTCTTGTACTCTAAGACAAGCAATCAGGTAGGCAGGGACTTTATCTTCCCACCTATCTATCTGCAGTTATACCTTGTATTTTCTTTCCCACTTTGGCCTATGGTTTCATTTTGAGATAGGGTCTCTCTATGTAGCCCTTGGCCTTGACCACGTGCTGGGATTAAAGACACGAGCCACCCATAGCCAGCATCCAATCCTTACTATTTTCTGGAAAGGGTCTCACTAAATAGTTCAGATTGGCCTAGATCTCCTGCCTCAGGCTCCCAAGTGCTGGAATTACAGGAATGTAACACTCAATCTCCAACTTTAGTATGGAGGATTATGGTCTTCCTTGATTTATCAGTTTCTCTTCTTCCACAGAATCATTTTATTCAGCACAAACATATTCCACCATTTCCTATTTTACAGTCAACTAAGTAGGCACTCTACCTTAAACCCAATCCTTTTTAATACTTTTGTTTTTTGAGACAGGGTTTCTCTGTGTTAACAGTCCTGGCTGTACAGAAATCGCCTGCCTCTGCTTTCCAAGTGCCTGAATGTACGTATAAGCCTACTGCCAATATCAGAAGAGGGAGTTGGACCCTCAAAATGGAATTACAGATGGCTGTGAACCACCATATGGGTTCTGGGAATTGAACACAGGTCCTCTGGAAAAGCAGTCATAGCTCTTAATGGCTGAGCAATCTCTCCAATCCCTGGAAATATCCCTGTGACATTGTTTCTACTTGTGATTCCCTTCAAAACTTAACTGGAGGTCCAATGTTCCTCAATCTAACAGCTTACCCAGACATTGTGACCGAGTCCACACTGACCTTCTCATATCTGTTCAATTCTCAATATCTTTTGTGTTTCAGTATAAATGTAGAGAGGCACAAGGCTTTGATATCAGATGTCTTTCCTTGATTGATCGCCATCTTATTCTAGACTTTTTAAAAAAGATTTATTTATGTGCACAAGTGTTTTGCCTACATGTTTATCTGTGCACCATGTGTGCCTGATGTCCTTGATGGCCAGAAGATATCAGATACACTGGAACAGGAGTTACAGTTGGTTATGAGCCAACATGTGGGCATTGAGAACTGATCCAACCTAGGTCTTCTGCAACAGTAACAAATATTCTTTTCAGACAAGGTCTCTCACTGAGCCCCATCCACTGGGCCAGTCTGGCTGGCCAATGAGCCTCAGAAATCAGCCCGTCTCTGCCCTACCCTCAAGGCTGGGGTTACCATGCCCAACTTTTAAAGAACTGGTCAAGTCCTCATGCTGCAGTACAGGCATTTTATCTATGGCTGGGCCATCCCCACAACCCCTATTTTCCCACATCTTTTTTTTTTAAATATTTATTTATTTGTTATGTATACAATATTCTGTCTGTGTGTATGTCTGCAGGCCAGAAGAGGGCACCAGACCTCATTACAGATGGTTGTGAGCCACCATGTGGTTGCCGGGAATTGAACTCAGGACCTTTGGTAGAGCAGGCAATGCTCTTAACCACTGAGCCATCTCTCCAGCCCCTCCCACATCTTTTTTGGGAGTGAAGAGGTGGGGTAGATCTCATTATGAAACCCTGGCTGGCCTAAATATACAGACCAAACTAAAACTGGCCTAAAACTCAGAGATCTGCTTGTCTCTGCTTTCCAAGAGTGCTGGGATGAAATTCCCAGCATTTCCCCAGACTGTAATAATAATCAGATCTTTCCAAGTGCTAGGGTCAAAAAAATTTTTTTCCTTACTCCCATATAAAGTAAACTGGCAGTTATCTTTACTTCAAAACACAGATGTCCTGCAGAGATGGCTCAGTAGTTAAAAGCACTGGCTGCTCTTCAGGTTCAATTGCCAGCATGACATGCTCTCTTTCTGGTCTCCTTAGGCACCAAGCACTAACACTGTGCACATATAAATGCAGGCAAAACACCCATATACATAAAATAAACCTCAACAGGTGTCACCTCTTCTCATCACCTTCCTTCTCAACCCAAGCCTCTACCACTATTGTGGTGACTTAAACTAGTCTGCATCCTCCCACCATTGCATCCTTTTCCCCAATACAGAATTTATCATTCTCACCAACTTCTAATTTTAAAAAGTTCAGCTCTAGCCGGGCAGTGGTGGGCACACCTTTAATCCCAGCACTTGGGTGGCAGAGGCAGGCAGAGTGCTATGACTTTGAGGCCAGCCTGGTCTAGAGAGCTAGTTCTAGGACAGCTAAGGCTACACAAAGAAACCCTGTGTAGCTGGGCAATGGTGGTGCCACGCCTTTAATCCTAGCACTTGGGAGGCAGAGACAGGCAGATCTCTGAATTCAAGGCCAGCCTGGTTTAGAGTTAGTGCCAGGAGAGACTCCAAAGCTACAGAGAAACCCTGTCTCAAAAAACAAAAGTTCAGCTCCTTTCACAGGCAGCCCATAAGGCTGTGGTTCTCCATCTGTGGGCTGAGACTCCCTGGGGTCAAATGACCCTTTCACAGGGGTCGCCTATTAGATATTTATGTTACATTTCATAACACTAGCAAAATTATAGCTGTGAAATAGCAACAAAAATAACTTTATGCTCAGCGGGTCACCACAACCTGAGAAATTGTATTAAAGGGTCACGGCTAGGAAGGTCGAGAACCACTATCTTAAGGGCTCCATCCTCACTATGATGCTTTTGTTCCTTTTAACTGCCTCCCTCCCTCCCGTCCAGCTACATGACCCTGCTGTTCTCTAGCTCTCTACGTGGGGGTTTTAGACCGGCAATCTCTAGCTGAAGCACACTACCTAGCCACCGACATCCCTTTATCAAGTCTTTTGAACTTCCTCTATCCACCCAGTTTAAAAATAGCTCCTCTCAGCTGGCCATAGCAGTGCACGCCTTTAATCCCATCGCGCAGAGGCAGAGGCAGGTGGATTTCTGAGTTCAAAGCCATCCTGGTCTACACAGTGAGTTCCAGGACAGCCAGAGAAACATAGGAAGACCCTGTTTTTGAAACAAAAACAAACAAAACAAACAAACAAACAAACCGAAGACCGTCCCCCTCCATCACCCTCCACATTACATTCCGCTGTATCACAGCTGTGACAGCCATTCAACAGGCTAGGCATTCATTGTTAAACGACAGGAGTTCCGTAAGGAAAGGGATCTATTTTCATGTGTTTTGTTCACATAAAAATCAGTGTCTGGTGCACACCTCGGCTCAAGAGGTGCGTGTTAAAGGGTTTGTAACAAACAATACTATACCATCCCTAAAAACGGCGTCCACCTGCCTCCAAACCGACCCTGGGCCATCTTTTTCTGGCTCCCTACCATCCATTTTCCACAATAGCTAAGAAAACCTTTGGAAATATTTCAGTCGGATCATCTCTCTACCCACTTTCTCATCCATCACACCCAGTAAAACGCTCAACTTTCCCCAACGCATCTCATACACCACCTTCCCCGTCGCCCGGCAGGTCCAGACTCACAAGCTGGATTCCGACCGAGGTCCTTTGGGAGCCTCTAAGGCGCTTCCATCCGCCTTTGCACTGCTAATTTCTCTTGCCATTCCGAGGTCGGCTTAAATGTCAGCTTCTCCATCCCGCAGCTAGCCTTCCACTGTTTTTTATGTCGTCATCACACAGATTTTTTTTTTTTACCGTCTTTGTCCCTACACCTGGAGCCTGCGCTCTAAGATGCAAGGCGCACAAGCTAGACTCTCAAAGGCCTCCTCCGTGTCAGGCGCGGCGGCTGTCCGTCCCGCCCGTCCCCGCAGACAAGACCCCTCCCCAACCCCCGCTCGCCCTCCCCCCCATCGTCTACCTGTCGGCCAGCTCCAGCACCTCGTGCACGCTGCCGGTGCTCACTCGGATGCGCCCGGTGTACATGTACTCGATAACGGCTTCCACCGTGTCAGGTTCGGGTCCCGGCTCCGAGCTCCACTTGCGCATCTCCACCCGGCCGGAGCGCGACTCGGAAAACTGACCGGAGAGCAAGGGCGTGAAGTACTCGGTGGCGGCGGCCAGCACCGAGCGGTGGGCACGGAACTCGCGACCTCCGGCCCCCCCGAAGCACAGGGTGATGTCGCAGAACAGGCCCTGCCGCCGCTGCTCGTTCTGCCGCCAGGACAGCTCGGAGCAGTGAGTGCTGCACTCGAAGTCCTCGGCCTCTGGGCCTGGATCGCCCCCGCTCGCCTCCATGACAGACATCCCGGGCCCGAAGTCCAACGTGCTACCTGCTCGGATATCGGCAGCCAGGCTCGCCGAACCGATGGCGGCAGTCTCCATGCTCTCCATCTCCAGCACCTGGAGAGACGCAGCCGCGGCCGCCGCAGCCGCCGCAGCCGCCACCGCCGCCGCCATCTTGAAGCCGCCGCACCGGCCCCCTGAGCTTCCGAACGGTGCGGCAACACTGGTGCGACACAGAGGAATTCTGGGATTAAATAGAGCGCGCGGGGCGGAGCTGCGCCTGCGCACTTCCGCCAAGTTTGCGCCTTCTAGTGAGGCAAGCTGGGGGTGGAGGGGATTAGGGTTGCCGTCTGTTCGTGTTTTGTTGAATTTTCTACTTTAAATTGCTTTAGAGGCAATCCTCACCACCACACGCACACACAGAAACTTAGTTTGTTTGATTTTGAACTCGCTCTGTAGATCAGGATGGCCTAGAGCTCACAGAGATCCACCTACCCCTGCTGGTATTAAAGGCATGTAACCACCACGCCCAATTTATATTTTAAAACGTGGCTTTGGCTGGGCAGTGGTGGCGCACGCCTTTAATCCTAGTACTGGAGAGGCCGAAGCAGGCGAATCTCTGAGCTTGAGGCCAGTCTGGTCTACAGAGCGAGTTCCAGGACAGCTAGAGCTTTCACACAGTGAAACCCTGCCTTGAAAAACAAAACAAAAAGCTTAAAATATTTTATTTTTTTCGAAACAGGGTTTCCTCTGTAGCTTTGGAGCCTGTCCTGGAACAAGCTCTCTATATCAGGTTGGCCTTGAACTCAGAGAGACCCACCCGTCTGTCTCGTGAGTGCTGGGATTAAAGGCGTGAGCTATCACCGCTCAGCTTTTTTGTTTTTTAATTTATTTATTATGTATACAATATTCTGTCTGCAAGCCAGAAGAGGGAACCTGATCAAATTACAGATGGCTGTGAGCCACCATATGGTTGCTGGGAATTGAACTGAGGACCTTTGGAAGAGCAACCAGTGCTCTTAACCTCGGAGCCATCTCTCCAGCCCCTTAATTTTATTCTTATCTAAGTGTCTGTGTATATGCACATGTGTGCCCTGGAGCCTACAGAGAACAGCGGAGCTGGAGTTACAGGGGTGAAGGACCCACCTGATGTACTGGAAGTCACGTTGGTCCTCTGAGGGCCCTTTTTTTTTGTGTGTGTGGTTTTCTTGAGACAGGGTTTCTCTGTGTAGCCTTGGCTATCTTTGAACCCACTCTGTAGACCAGACTGGCCTCGAACTCAGAGATTCACCTGCCTCTGCCTCCCAGTTCTGGAATTAAAGGTGTGTGACTCCCAAGTACTGGGATTAAAGGTATGAGCTACTATTTCTCTTTGAGACTGGATCAATCTAGTGTAGCCCAGGGTGGCCTTGAATTTACAGAAATCCCTCTACCTCCCCTCCTCCCAGTGCTGGGATTAAATGTGTGTGTGTGCCACTGGCCTCTTTGGCTAACTGGTGATTTGGCTCTGCATTCTGATCTTCAGGCAAGCTTTATTTGTTAGATCACAAAATGTCTTAGAGGGGTATGGTGGCTCACACCTGTAATCCTAGCACTTGGGACTCTAAAGATGGACCATTTCCAGTAGGTCAGCCTGAGCTAGATTGTCTCAAAAACCAACCAACCAACCAACAACAACAACAAAAAAAACCCCTGCATTTCAGCTAAATACATGAAGGTGAGGAGTTATGGGCATTGCCTCCTTTAGAACACAGGGTTAAACAAGGTAGTGCTGAATCAAATGTTTGCCGCATAGCCACCATTTTATATATAGTAAAGTGAGGAACAGGCCAGCCTGGTCTACAGAGTGAGTTCCTGGACAGCCAGGGTGCCATAGAAAAATGAATAAAAGCCACTTTGGGACTTCAAGCAAGGAAGTGAAGTTTCCTAATTAGATTTTCTTTTTACATTTATTTAGTCTAGGGATGTAGTGTAGTTGTGCGCAGGCCCCAGCACACCTGTGGTTGGAGAAGGTTCAGGAGTCAATCCTTTCCTTCCACCTGACATATTCAGGCAGGCAGGCTCGGCAGCTGATGTCTTCACCTGCGGAGCCATCTCACCAGCCCTCAATTTGATTTTTAAATGTCACTGGTGTCTGTAAGGAAGATGGGTTGTACCTGGACTAAAGAGGAAATAAGGGCACCAGTCAGCAGACACAGATAGCTCAGAGGAGAGTTCAAGGGTAAATCAACAGAACTCGGAGCCCAGGAGAGCAGAAGGGCGACTCCAGCTTTTGGCTTCAGTCAGCAAGCCTAGAGTTACCACTAATTGAGAAGGGGAAACGCAGGTTAAAAGTGGATTTTTCAAAAGCTCCTGTTTTAAAAGCTTTTTCTTTCATTCTTGAAGATTTTTCAAAAATTACTTTTAATTAAGTATAGATGTCTCTACATATGGGTATATGCAAACGAGTGAAGGTGCCCTCAGAGGCTAGAGGTGTAGGGTTCCCTGGAGCTGGAGGGTTACAGATGGTTGTGAGCATCTGTAATGGTTCTGGGAACTGAACTCGGGATGAGCAGCAAGTGCTCTTAACCACCAAGTCATCTCTCCAGATCAGCTCTTTCTTTTTCTTTTTCCTTTTTTTTTTTTTTTTTTTTTTTTTTTTTAGGCAAGGTTTCTCTGTAGCTTTGGAGCTGGTCCTGGAACTCGCTCTGTGTAGACCAGGCTGGCCTCAAAGACACAGAGATCCGCCTGCCTCTGCCTTCCAAGTACTAGGATTAAAGGCGTGCACCACCACCTCTGCCTGGCTGCTTTTTCTTTAAGTATTTGTTTTTATTTTATGTACATTGGTGTTTTTCCTGAAAGCATGCCTGTATGAGGGCATCAGATCTCCTGGAACAGGACTTACAGACAGCTGTGAGTTGCCAGGTGGATGCTGGGAATTGAACCTGGGTCCTCTGGAAGAGTAGCCTGCGCTCTTAACTCCTAGGTCATCTCTCTACCTTCAGCTTTTTTTTTTTTTTTTTTTTTTTTTTTTTTTTTTTTTTTTAAAGACAGGTTTCACAGCCAGGTAGTGGTGGCACATGCCTTTAATCCCAGCATTTGGGAGGAAAGCCAGGGGGAATCTCTGTGAGATCAGGGCCAGTCTGGTCTACCAAGCGAATATCAGGATAGCCAGGGCTACACAGAGAAACCCCGTTTTGAAAGCAAACAAACAAACACCACCAACAAATCAGGTTTTGCAGCCCTGGCTGTCTGAAAAAGATCAGGCTGGCCTTGAACTCTGATCCCAAGTGAAGGAATTAAAGGTGCCACCAAGCCTTTGGGGGTGGGGTCATGACTGGATACATACTGGTATTTTCATTATCCTTTTCTTTTTGAGAGATGGAAGTGGATTTTAAAATGGTAAAACTAAGAGCCGGGGTAGTGGTGCACACCTTTAATCCCAGCTGCGGCCAGCCTGGACTACTTTCCAGAGCCGGGGTAGTGGTGCACACCTTTAATCCCAGCTGGGGCCAGCCTGGACTACATTTCAGAGCAGGGGTAGTGGTGCAAGCCTTTAATCCCAGCTGGGGCCAGCCTGGACTACAGTTCCAAGACAGCTCGGTCTCAAAAGCAGATGACACAGAACAGTACCACGCCACTGTTACTGTATAGTTTATTTAAACCAAACATGATAATACAGAGAGGAGACTGAGGTGGCAGCTGCCCGAATTTTTGTGGGTTACAGATGTAAAACAGCTGTATGAGGCTTTGGACCCACACTTCAGTAACAGACAAATCAGCTGCATAAACACAGAACAAGAGACATGAGACATTTCACAGCTTTTTGCTTGTGTTTCCATTTTAAACACTAGTATGTTACAACTTTACATTTAAGTTACTACGCCACATATGTGTGACAATGGCTAAGGATGCAATGGTTCTATCCCTCCCTGACATAAGAAGACACTGATCCGTAACACAGAACGTATCAGTGGGATACTAAATGAACCCTTAACACATAACACAGAAAAAAAGATCCTTAAAAATCAGATTAATACAGTGTTCTTCATGTTGTGTGAAGATGAACGGGAAGTGGGACACCAGATGTCAGTGGGTCCTACAGACAGACAGTATCTTGAAGTCTTAAAAGTTGCATTCCCTTCCTCCAAAGGAAAAATAAATTTTTAACTAATTAAAAAAAGAAAGCAACATCATAAGGCCCTAGAGAACACTATTCTGAGAATACTTAGAGTCTTCCATACAATAGATACAGCAGGTAGCAGAGCAAATGTCGCAAGTATTGGCTTGGTTTTCAATTTCTATGCTTATATATATATATAAAAAATACTAAGCTTTGTGTGGACTACATGGATACTAGCCTGCAGGTGTTGGTCTTCCATGCCTGTACATCAATGGCTATTTCTGATCCAGGCCCAGCCTATAATGGACTCTGCTTCCAGCTGTCTGTCCGTTCTTACTCAGGAGGGAGCTCTTATCTTCCTTTTATTATAGCAGGGTTCCTGACGCAGTTACATGCTCATGTGCTCCGGAAGAACATAGGAAATATCATCCCATGGGTGACGATACAGGCCCTGCTTCAGCCTCTTCTGATCAAGATAGTGCCCTAAAATGGAGCCGACGCATCTTTCGTTAGTTTCATAAGCATGGTGGCAGGTAGACGATGGGGAGGGAAATCTTTCTGACACACAAATGGGGACACTGGGCTGGTGATGTAGCTCTATGGTAAGGTCCTTGCATAGCAGGTATGAAGCCCTTCCAGGGTTTAACCCTCAGCACAGGGCACAAAAGGCTACAGTGAAGTAGAAAACAAAACCATAAAACAACACACACACTCACACATGCATGCACACATGCGCACTCACACCCACCCCAAAACAGGGCAGGAATTCCAGATTCACTTCATCGGTAGAACAGCTAGACTTGGCAAAAAGGGAACTGCTAGACTGAATTTTACTTTTCTTAACTAGTAAGGGAAACTATTCCCTGTAATAAAAAGAACACAGATAAAGAAGAAGAGTTAGCAAGGCAGTGCTGGCACACGCTTTTAATCACAGCACTCAGGAGGCAGAGGCAGGAAAATCTCAGAGTTCGAGGCCAGCCTGGTACAGAGTGCATTCCAGGACAGCCAGGACTACACAGTGAAACTCTGTCTCAAAAACCCAAAAGAGAGCCAGCCTGGTCTACAAGAGCTAGTTCCAGGACAGGCTCCAAAGCTACAGAGAAACCCTGTCTCGAAAAA